TGCATATCACTTCACTGACTCCGTGCCTGAACGAATTTAGCTTTTCAAAAGCATATGATTTGGCCAAGGGCATGATACATCATAACAGTTTACCAAAAAATGGATTGTTGATTGCATGTTGTGGCAAACTTGCTAACTGTAAATTTCATGATGTCAAGAATGATTCAGACTACTGTGCACCTCAAAACGTATTACCGCAAAGAAAGAAATGTGTTGCAAGGTAACATGTCAGAAACAATCAACATCCCCGCACCACATGATACTCCCACAATATAAGGATGCAACATTTTGACTTGGGCCGTCAGCAAAAAATGTTGTAATTTGATGTCTGAGAAACTTTGGATGTGTTTTCATGTGCAAAGCTGACAGTTACATGTAGTATGTGTGACCCTAGTAAACAGTAAAGAGCAGATTAACTGTGGATTATCACATGAAATTGAGGATTGAATTCCTCTCTGATGCAAGGACTTGGTGGTACACTGCATTGTGCATGGCTTCTAGCCATTACCAAAGACTAAGGAACCCCGCACCGTTACTCAGAGGGACAAACATGATCCACAAGTCATATGCAAGAAGGCATTTATGCACCGTAATGCAACTTTTTCACCTCAAATGAGCAGTAAAGTGATTGGACAACTGCCAACCAAAATGTTGGAGTGTTTTTGGAATTGCACTATCTGCCTGCACATGTCTGCTCTGAGGCAGACATTTCAGTCCAACAGGAACCACCATTTCTAAGACTAATGACACTTGAGTCAGTGCGGCATATGCATGATTTTCGTGTTCCTTCCATTTGAGGGCATTAAGGACAGGACTTCAGTTGGCAAGTTCACCAAAACAGCTTGGACATGCACTAAAAAAGAAGAGAAAGAACTTTGGCCAAGTATCTAATGGATTTTCCTGGGCCCTGCTTCAAGTTCACACAATAACACTATCAATGAATGCCTTTGACGTTATTTCTACTTGCTTAATTAATCCATATATTGCATGAAGACCAAAAGCCAGGTTCAGACAGTTCTGACCACCATGTTAGCCACTGCTAAGTTTATTTGTTGGAAACGGTGACCAAAAAATGAATTCAGCCAAGGAGATTTAAGCTACTCCAGTAGTCCCTATGATTCGCTTACTTGTTTCGATAAATATCTTTATCTTCCAATAATTATTCCACATCCAGTACACACTCTTACTTTGTCACCGGAAACAACTTTCACTTATCAAATTTGTTACCATTTCAGCCCCACCTTACTGTGTGCATTTATCACTTCAGTTGGATTTGTCCTGCTTCAAAAATTGGCAAGCAATGCATTGTATACGGATGAAGCAAGACGCATTTATTGCTTTCACTTTTTCTGCAATGTAGGATTTCATTTAAGTGACAGATTTGTTGAAAAGTATCACTCGCTGCAATTTTACTAGACACGTTGCTTGTTTTTTTTATAAGCAGAAAAACCTGTCTGATTAGAAATATCATCTGCAGAAAAAATACATTCACAAAAGAAATGCGAACTTTAACTTTTGTCCTGTATCATGTTTCATTGAAGACAAAATATGCCAATGTACAAAGAAGAAAAAAGACTAGCAGCCCTACATAAGGTCCACTATCTCTGAAGTTAGATTTACATGTACAGTCGAACCTCGTTAATAAGAGCACTGTTTATACAAGATCCTGCTTTTTACAAGGACAATTTCAGGTCCCAATCCTTTGTTTTTCATTGTTTTCATGCCTGATAATACAAGGTTCCTGTTAAAACAAGGTAAGTGACCAAGTCTGAAGGACCTCTATTTATTCCTATCCATGGTGAGGCATTTTTTGAGCTGACCATATTACAAACTGACAGCCTTAAATTACTGGCTTACTGACAGTGGGGTTTCCAGACCATTGACCATGAAGACTTGAAGGAATATCTCCAAGGAAGATTGCATCAGTTTTCAGAGTTTGAGACAAACCTAGTTCATTTCTTCAAACTATTTTGAAAGCTATCTTTGAGATTGACAAATGTGACCTGCATGGAGCATGATAGTCTTCAGTCCAAGGCAATACCTCTTGCTTTATTATGTTTCAGTTGGTTTTTCAGTGGGGAAAATATAGAAGTCAATACATGTTCAAACTTGCTGCATGTAGATGTAGAGAAGGTCTAACCAAGTTTCAGTAATTTCACTCGTACTTTGTTTCTCCAAAATGTATGCAGTTGTAAACACAGTACAAATACATGAACATACTTCAAACTGAGTGACATCTTTGACCTCTAAAATTCCAATACTTTTTAAAGTCTGGAATGGAATTCCTGGCAGAGGAGTGAGAACAGCTGACCAAGAGATTTGACTCTGGCTATTTGAAAATACTTCCATTTCAGGACATGAGTTAGGAGCAAGGACTTCTTAAAATCTACTTTCCATAAGCCACATTTACATTGGTCACCGATGTGGACTTAGCCGCACAATGTGGACTCAACCCTAGAATGTTTTATCAACATTAGCCTTTGCTGAAAATACCATACACGAGAATTCATTCTTTAAGAAGTGGTTCTACTGTCACCAATCCACTGACATATTTTTTGCGAGGGCAAAGTTTGTTCC